TTCTGGAAAGGAAGTTCCTTTCTGGAAAGGAAGTCTTTCCCCCATTGATGCAATGTTACAGTCACAGACTTAAACAGGTTTTATGTTGAAATGAAGGCATAAATAAAATAGAGATGGCTTACTTTTTGGAGAGAAATGCATGTACTAATCTTTAAGCGTCATAAAAGCTGCAGTCCAGTAAACTGTTTATTGTATTGTATTTTTTTATGGGCTCTCTGAGCAAAAAAAACAAAAAAAAAACACATTTCTTAGAACTTTTCGTCACAAAAGCTTTTTTGTGTTCTACGTGGAGACCGACTCCCACAGCTGTAAAATATTCTACAAAAGTCGACTGCGTGTACAAATGCTTCTCAAGGTCGACTGACTCTTGCCGATTTTCCTCCTCAGCCGCTCCAGCCTGAACGCCAAGCTGGATGAGACGGTGCCCTTGAAGTGCGACGAGGCTTACATCTCCCCGTCCATGGTCCGGCTGTCTGCCCCGGTGGCGACCTCGTCGGACGACGCCTCCACCGCCACCACCACGTACTCGCAGAGCAACATTGTCCGAGTATCTGCCTTGTAGATGTCGCACCTGCCTCACCTGACCAGCCCAAACTGGTCTCGAGAAGCACCAGATAGATGCTGAGGAGAGGGACCACCGAGCATCAACCTGCCATAACCGAGAGGGATTATAAGCTTGACAGCAGTTGGGATTTTTATTTATTTATTTTTTTTTAATTTTGAAGTTGTGATTTCATCTGATGTCAAACTCTGCATGGTGTTTAAAAGAAGAAAACAAAAACACACACACACAAAAAAACCGAACAAAAGCAACAACAACAAAACGTTGAGGCTCTTCTTGGAGCCGGAGTTTGATGTTGAACCAGCAGATCTTTGCTTCATTAAGCACATCAAAGCGAGGAGGCGCTTGGAATGAACGTCATCGTTGCCTAAACATACTGAGGACAAAAAAAAAAAATCAACAACTTTATTTTTCAATATGTGACGTAGATGTGTGTGTTGTCTCTGATTCGAAGGCGGGGAAAAGTCTCGAGATCGTTCTCGACGGCCTCATGGCGAATAAAGCACACGAATATCCTCGCCGTCTTTGTGAATATGGACTCACTCTCCACGCTGTTGCATTTAAAGCCCTCTTCGATTAAAACGCTTTCTTACCTCCCCCTCCCCCGTTCACTGTTGTAAAGTCCAAAAAAAAAAAAAACGACGCGCGCACCCACTGGAACGCATCGCCGTTGTGAATATTCACGAACTGATTCACGAAGCCGGTCGGGGTCGTCGCCCGACGGATGAAATCGCACGACTCACCCCGACGTGTGCGAGTGAAGGTTGAACGACCAAATCTGTGTTAGCTTCCATATTAGCCATCCTGAGTCAGCGTGAAAGCCGCCTGTCGGTAGTTGCCAGTTATCGATAACCATACAGGGTATACATTAGCTAGGGCACAAGTGAATAAGGGAACGTTTTCGGCAGCACTTAACTAACCTTGATGTGGACACGTACGAGATGGTAGCACCGGCCTGCTAAACCGTAGGAAAGGACATCGACTGACTTCCTCACAGCGACTCGGTTGACTCCATTGTGTCGAAGCACCATTTTGTATATTTTTCATACTGTAAATATTTCTCAGTTAGGACTTTATCAAATGCATCTGAAGTTGGCTCCTCTAAGTTCTAGATTTAGTTTGAACAGTTGTTGGCAAAAAAAAAAAAGGAAAAAGAAGAAAACCTCTTTCTGTCTGTTGCCTGGTTGAATTTAATGATTTGCATGCTGTCATTGCAGAATTATGTTTTAATTAAAGTGTGTGTCTGCTTCTTGTTGGGAGGTTTGTTTCAGCGACGACCGGATTAATGGGCTGGAGCACAACGGAGCGGCGCGGGTGTCCGGATTTTAAAGTCTGCTTTTAATGAAATACAAATCTTGTCATGGACCGAGTGTGTAAGGGTAACGAAAAGGGACAAATTTATCACACATTGTGCATTTGGTGCAGTGGATAGAATAAACAGTGCAGCTCTGCTGAAGCATCTATAAAATCACCCATGTCTTTTTCTCTTTTCTTAACTCTTCCTAACCCCTAATAATGGTGGTCACTAGAGCAGGTCTTTTTTTCTGTGTGCATCAGGGTGTTGATGTAACAAACGAAATATTTACACAGTTTAAAAAGACACATAATATTTTTTCTCATTGACTCCAATGAAACACAAATGTTCCTGTTTTAGGTCCAAAATGATGCCAGAATAATGAGAATGAGAGTTTTTAGAGAGTTGTTCCCCATTGTCTTTTAACAAAGAAATTTAAATTCAGATTAGTTATCAAATGCAGTCAGACCTTAGTTTTTGCAGACATATCAGGAGATTTGATGAAACAAAAACCGAAGTGTCTGGACATAAATGAGAATTGTTAGATTTGGAGAAAGGGGCTTGAATTACTAAAGAAGCTGCATCTTTTATTTATTTATTTATTTATTTATTTAGCTGCAGGAGGGACTGGAGCAATTCAAATAAAAACTGTGAAAAAATATACATTTAAGCAATTCAGTACATTAACACGTTACATAGATAAATATTAAGCTAACATTTCATTTCATTACATTGAAGGATCCTGGAATATTTTTGCTAATGTTGTTTAACACAAATATTTATGTCTGATTTTATCTGTCCTTCACAATAATTTGTGAAATTCCTATTTTAACATCCGTTTTGCACGAGAGGGCTAAAAACTATAATATAATTTAACATTCTCCCTGTTTACTCCAGGTGTGTGTGCGTGTGTGTGTGTGTGTGTTTTACAAAGAGTGGATCATGAGGAGGAGCTGCTACATGTGAGGACCTGCTGGCCCAGCGGTGGGTCCTGGCAGCGGGGTCTCTGGAGACACATGAGCTGACCTCAGTGATCGTTTGACGCGGAGCTCTGTGGCGCCGCCCTGCTGAGCTGAATGTCGGTCTAAGCAGCTCCTCACAGCACGCGACGCCTCCACTCTGCAGTGTTTAGCAAGCGCTGAGAAGCCAGCAGGTGGAATATGGGAGAAAGCACAGCGGCGTGCAAAACAAAAGACCTCCTATAACCTCAGTGTAAAATAATAATAATAAATCCCCTTACAAAAGGGACTTAGACTAGTTTTTATTTTTTAATCAGTTACATCAGATGTGTAACACTGTGCCTTTAAAAAAACCGTTTCTCCACTGCTAACTCCTTCATATTTTGTCATGTTACAACTGGACGTTTCTACTCACCGATACCGACCTTTAAGGTCTGACCTTCTGCTCTTTCATTTGACAGATTTTGTTTTCTAGAGAATATAAAACATGTAAGTAAAAAAAAAGAAAACTGTTTTGAAGGTTCCGTTTTCAAGAGTAAACGTAGGAATGACGAGATTTTTTTGACAAATGTGTATCATCATCATCATCAGGTTTTAATGAAACTCAAAATGGTTCCTGATGTGCTTACAGAAAATTATTAGTTTCGGTGCAATTATTGAATATGACAAAATAAGATCTATTTTATGTTTAACCACTTACTGAAAAAAACCATGAATTCTATCAGAAAGGACAAATTTGACGACTCTGATCTCAGGCTCATTTACTGATGTATCTCTAGTTGGAAACTGTAAAACTTCAATGTGTCTTATTTAGATTTTCTGTGACAAGCCAACGCAGAGTTGTTTATTTGTAAAGTTAGCAGTAATTCTCAGAAGATGGATAAAAACTGTTGTGAATTTTTATTTTGCCTCCTTTTAATGCAGTACCCCTAAATCCAATCCAATTTACAAATACAATTTATAATCTCCTGAACAGTAATTATAGTCCACATGTTTGTATTTTCATCCCAAAATTAGCAAATAAATCACATTTATGATCCAAGTCGTCTTTCACTCCACAGTTTAGCCAATCAGCCAACGTCCTCATCAAACACTTTGGTGTTTGTCGCTGTAAATTGACCATATGTGAACTAAATCACACTTTTAAAGGGGCCATAAATCCAAATGTGTGCATCCAGTTTTATCAGAGTGTAAAAGTCAGAGATGTTCTCACTTCCTACAGAATCTGGATTTAACCCAGCTTCTTAGCTTGTAAAACTCTGAGCGAAACTGCGGGTTCACTGCAGCGTATATTATCGGGTCGCTCAGGGACGTGATGCAGGAGACAGACACCGACAGGATCCCCATGTCTTGAATGACTGGCGTCTGGAGGAAGGAAAAAAGAAAAAAGCAAACAGATACACAATTTGTGTGAGAGCTCTGCTGGATTTCGAGCATACATATATTCCTTCTGATGGAAGGATCCAAACGTGCCTTTCGCTCTCATATTTTGCACGGTAATGTCTTCTGAACGTCCTGTAAGAAGCTCACACACGGACTCACCTGCATTTCTCTGTTTTTGTGGACAAGAAAATTCACCAAGATGGTTGTGATCAGCGGCAGCCAGAACAAAAGGAAGGTTATGATGATATACCCGGCGCGTTTGGCCATTTTAGTTTCCTTCCTTTTCCTCGCTCTCTCCTTGCTGGCCTTCGAAGGCATGACGCAGACAGCCCCCTCCAACTGGACCTCCTGGTTTACGGCTCCATTACTTTGGACAGAAGGCAGTGGAGGCTCTTGATCTAGCGTAGGCGCTGCCTGTGTTTCTCCTCCGGTGCTGTTTTCTTGTTTTGGGCCAGTCAATAAGACAGAGGTAGATTTAGGGAGCTCTAACTGAGTAGATGGTACAATAAGGAGGCTGTTCTCTTTGACTGGACTTTCAGGTTTCGGGCTTTCTCCGGTCTGATTTTCTCGGTTAAGGCTTTTTGACTTCTCCTGCGTCTCTCTGTCAGCAGACCTATCCTGATTTGAGGCTGTTGCTTCTGTTTTGTCAGCTCTGCTTTGCTCCGTTTTTAACGTTTTCTCCACAGTCTGCAGTGCGTCCGGCGCTGCAAGAGGGTGGAGTTGCTCCTTCTCCAAGTGACTCATCTCTACTGTAATTTTAAACCCAGGTTTTCTCTCAGGACTAATGGAGGCGCTCTGTGGGGCGACCTGCGAGGTCAGGAGGGAATTTTTACCAATTCTACTTGATTCAACAACACTTGTACTCAGGATCTGCTTGTTCTCACATTTGTCTTGCCCATTTTGCACTGCAGGGGTGTGCTTGTCTTCTTTTGAGTCTTTTGAAGGAACAGAAGTGCCTTCGTCAAATATCTTGCGATTGTGTGATCTCAGTAGAGCAAAAATGCGAGCGTAGAAGCCAGTGATCACCCCGAAACAGGACACCCAGAGAGGGAGCAGCACGTAGAGACCAACGGTGTCGTAGGTCGAGGACGCTCCTCTTTGGCCCTCTTTACATCTTACATACACAGGTGAGTCTTTCAAGAACACCTGACAAACGGCAGCCAGTGAAACTCCCAGGAGCCACGTAAGAGGAATCAGTGCCATCATCCGTCGTTTTCTCTGAGTTGTTTTGAAGGGATTCGCAATCGCCTGGTACCTCTCCGCGCTTATGCAGCCCAGCGTCGACAGCTGGATGCAGCAGCTGAAGGAGAAGGAGGCCGTTTGCGTGTCGCAGATCAGACGGTCCACATGCCCTCCGCGGTGCAGGGTCACGATGACATGCAGCAGAACCGGGCAGTCGACGGTGCAGCGCAGAAAGTCCACGACGGCGAGGTTCACCACCGGCGCATTGACAGACGTTTGCAGCGACTTCTGGCGACACACCGCCAGGATCACGAAGAGGTTCGCCGCCGTTCCCACAGCGGAGGTGATTAGCAGAACAAAACTGTTTGTCACCACGAGGGCGAAGTCAACGTAGGCCCCCCAAACGGTGATGTTCCCAGAGCTCCCTGTAGATGTGGGCGCCCCTCTCATCTCCGAGTTCAGAGAATCAACATGCTCAGCTGGCTGACTGAGCAAACATCAAGCGCTCTTCACACCACCTCCGATGAATGAATAATTGCGGGGGGGGGGAAAGCAGCGGCGTGGACGAGTTCCTCCAAGGTGCCCGCCCTTTTCATTATCACTCCGCAGCACCAGCGGGTCACCTGGGAGTCCTTGCTGTTCACATTCATTAACAACTCTGCAGTGTATTCACAGCTGAGACAACCGGGGGGCAATAAGAGACGGGCTGCTAATTGAAAAGCAGTTATATCACTATTGTCCCATCCCTGACATATATGACTTCATAAAATCAGTCAGCCGGATACATGGCCTTGCATGAGGAGGGTTCACAGCCCTTGAAGTTTACCACATTACAATCACAAGCTCAGGTGAACTTGTGTGGGACGGTGTGTGACAGAACAACACAAAGTAATGTTGAGGTGGGACGCATATGTCACGCATTCTCATACAGCCTACGTGAGTTATTGCCATATAGACACATTTCTTGCTGTAATTACAAAACTTTAGCTTTATTTCTCTATCATGTAAAGACCAACTATTCTTCGTTACTGAGGACCTGAAGTTCAGTGATGTTAGCTGGAGAGTTTCTGTGATTTGTAGTACCAACGATTCATTCTAACAGCTCTGCTTAGATCCAAATAACTTTATTGTAGTCCTGGTTCTTTGTTGTTGCCCAGTTGGAAAGTAAACCTGCTCTCAAGTCTTTTTCAACCTCTGGCAAGGTTTCTTCCAGGGCTGCCCTATTTGGCTCCATCCGCCTTCCCATCCACTTTGGCCAGCTTCTCTGTCCCCGCTGAAAATAACAGCTTCCCCACCACATCATGCTGCCACCACCGTGTTTCTCCAGGAGGCATTCAGGGTGATTATCAGTATTAGATTCCTGAAACCAAACATTTGGCATGTCACCCAGAAATCTCCATTGTCTCTGCCTCCCACATTCTGTTAAGGCCCAATTTGTGGACATTTCAACTAATATTTATCATGATGTTTGTTCTTTAATGTTCTCTACCAAACCTCTGAGGACTTCAGAGAACAGTTGGATTTATATTGAGCTAAAATTACATACAGTTCAACTCTATTTAGCAGCAGAGTGACGTCCAATAGCAACTGGTCGTGGCTGGATTTAATTTTTGATTGTCAGAGTAAAGAGAACTGAAAACATCTGCCCACCATGCTTTTTACATGTGGAAAAATTAAAAACAACGGCTTATAGCACCATAATACAAGGTATTACCATAACATTGCTTTATTAACATTCATAAAGCAATGTTAATGCTTTATTAACATCGATAGTCAATGTTACTAAAATAGAAACAAATGCGATTTTATTTTTGTTTTAGTCTATTTCATACAATCCAAATAAAGCAGCCCAAGTTAAAGTTTGAGGAAGTTATGCGACAACGTTTGGTAACACTTTATTTGAAGGGATGTGCATAATACCGACATAATACTGCCATAAACATGACGTAACACCTGGTATGAACATGAAGGAGTCTTCGTGAATGTCTGACCGTCGTCATGAAGTGCCATTCGATAAATAATGAAACTTTCAGTGCAAAGTTGACACTTTTAACGCAAGCTTTAGTACAACTTTGCATTGAAAGTGTCATTATTTACAACTGACACTTCATGACAGCAGTCGTAAACATTTCATGAAGACTCCTTCATGATAACGGGTGTTGTGTCTTTTTTATGACACCGCCATGTCAGTCTTATGCACACCCCGTCAAATAAAGTGTTACCAAAAGTTGTAGGGGCGTAAGAACCTTTGCAAGTTGCTGAAGCACTGTGACGAGCACATGATCGACTGCCCATTTAATTTGATTCAGAATTTAATGAAGGTTGAACGCCTGACACTGGCGATGCCAGATGGATGAGTTAAGAGTGGGAGCAATGCTGCCGGATTATGGTTGCATATTTTGTAATCCTGTTTGGAGATGCAGTGTGAAATGCTCTTTGCTTCAAAATGTGGAAGCTTATGGGCCGTGATAAATCTGGGATTAGATTATCACAATAAGATGCAGTCCGGACCATCCGGAACGTTACGCCGGGGAGAAATCTCTGACGAACCCGCGGACAAAAACGAAAACTCTTGGGAAATAAATTGCCTTTCATTTTGTTTCCGTCTCGCCGAAACATCACGACAGCATAAACCGAAACATGATATGTGGAGAATCAAAAGATGCAGCTTCATTATGAATTCAGGCCAACTCTTTCTGCAGGAAGTGGAAGAGGGGGAGCAACACTGACAACGTTACACCAACACTTCCCAATAAAGAGTCACTTCAAGTAACTGGAGATCTGAAGATCCGGTGCAGCTAATTCTCTCACACTGAAAGAGGTTATAGTCAGTCTGTTTGACCTAAATCTCCTTACACCAACTCAACGAAAAGCAGCACCTTCCACAATCGCTGCCGCGTTTCTCAGTTCTGAGAGGCTAAGCTGATCCTGTGTGTGGTGAAGTGGGCCTGCGTTGCTCTGGCCACGTGTTTTGGATCGTTATTCTGTTGAGAAGCCCGGTAATGATCCGTGCTGAGTCTTCTAACGGAGGTCGCCGGATCATGTTGTTTAAAAATGTCCTATTTGGAAAGATGAATGATGCCACTTCTGAAAGGTTACCATGGTTACCCACCGAATCGATTTTGCATGTAGATAGCATCTCACGATTGTTGAGGCGACTCGGTTGCAACAGGATGCCGTTTTGCTTCAGAGATTTGTATTTTTATTTTGAACCACAGTCCTGCTTATTGTGTTTATCCAGCCTCTTTCATCACAGCTCCAGCTGTTTTAAAATGTCTAAATATCACTCTTGTAGCAAAGAAAAAAGCTAATCATTTATGAAAATATATATCTACCTTACTCATGTTGCGTCTTTGTCTTTATCAAGAGTGTTTAAGAGAAATGAACCTCTGTTGGACTTATTTGATCCCTTGGAAAAGTTTGTCACTGAAACACGAGTTAAGAAGTTACGGACTGTTAGCCTTGATCATCATTACAGAGTGAAGGAGAAATTATCATAAAGCTATTAGAGATTGAGATTTCCAAGCATTCCTGGATTAGGATTATGCCATAAAAGAGGACTTATCTTAAGACTTCTCGAGGATCTACTTTTTCCTTTCTTATTCGGTGATGGTTTAATCTTCGCAATTTGTGGACAGCTTCATCTGAGACAATTAGATATTTTTGGGCTTTCAAATGAAATCTGACTTCCTCCTTGTTTAAAAACACAACAAATTCGATTAAACTGATTAAATAGGAGGACGGACTCGGAAACACGACAGACGATGTCTCTGTCACTTCACCACTTCACACTGCTGACGCCTGGACAAAGCGAGGCGTGTGTTGGACTTGATTAAGTCTGAGTTCTGTTCACATGATCTGCAGTGAAAAGGTGAATAGCTTTTTTTTTTTTTTTTTTTTTCCCTGCACACCGGCTGCATACGATTGAAATTATAACGACACGCAGGGCTGCAAGTTTTTGTGCTGCTGCTGTTTGGCTCACAGTGCTGGACCTTTGTGTAAGTATTGATCAGAGGGCGAGGCTGATTTCTGCTGACTTTAATCCATTTTGTTTTATTAGTTTATATATATATGCTTACATTAATCGCTCTGAGATCATCAAGAGAGGCTTTCAGAGGCTTTGTGTGTTTATGGGATAGAGCTACACATAGGACAATCTAAAAATGTGTGAATTTTTTATTTTTATTTTGTTAAAGGAGACATCCTCACACACGGAATGAAACCAGGTACGTTGCATTTTAGGAACAAAGGAGGTTTCGGTTCATTCCCGTTTGTCTGCGCTGTCTGGCTGTGATTGCTTTGTCTGCTCTCATTAAATATGCATACAAATGGAAAATTACAGACAGCGACTGCTCACACCACCAAACGGCTCTTTTCGACTCAGCATTTTTGTGTCTCCTTTCAACGCAGCGTGTGTCCAAACAAATCTGAAACAGATCAGAGAAATTAAATTGTCTTCACTGAGAAGTCTCACCGTCGTTGAATTAAATAGACAAAGAAGAACAAGAGCATCCGATGGCGTAATGTGATTCATGTACCTGGCAAAGGAAGAGTAGTTCTACAAAGAGAGTAAAAAAATAATAAATAAAAATGAAGCAAAGCAGTTTCCAGTTGCATGTACAACCTTGATAAACGTGCATAATCAATATCTTTAAAAGTGAAACATACAGAGGGGCACATTTCAATCAATTACTTTTGTTTAGGTTTGTGCCTTACAGCTGATTAAAACATAGAAGTCATTTCTAAGACATTTGAATTAGTAAGGCCAACAAAATACATTTTGAATAACAAAAAACATACTGTACTGCCCCATTAATACTTCTTGAGTGCTCTTTTTTTTTTTTTTTTTTTTTTTTTTCTAAAAATTTTTCCTTCCATTTCTTGTGGCTTTTGGGGCCGGTTGGGGGGGGGGGGGGGCACATT